CTACTCCTCAATTATTGGATATAATGCAAAATCATCTCGTACAACAAGGTAAAGTAAATTCATTGTTAAATTAATCAGGAATTCCTTTCTTTGATCTTTATCTGATGGATTTATTTTTTAACCTCTTGAAGACAAAAATTATCAACAATGGTACACTGCTTACCAACTTACTAAACAAGATCTTGAAGAAGCGAAGAAAAAAATTGAGAAATTAAATGATGAATATGAGGTGGTAAACAAGGAAAATGAAATGTACAAACGTGAAAATGATATTTTGAGAGCCGAAAAGCGGTTGTTGGAATATGAAAATAACGAACTAAAAGAAGAAAATCAAGAATTGAAGAGAAGGAGAATTTAAATATTATTACATCGAACAATAGTTTAATTATTCAATTATTCATTTATTTTTATTATTTTTGTATATGTATATATATTTCTTTATATTATCCTTAATAATATTATCCTTATATATTAGTTTGTAAATATATTTTTACTATTGTGTATTAAAATTAAATACTTAACATTCTATGATTTAGTTTGACTCGAGAAATAATTTCGAACAAAGGATTTTTTTAATCAAATTTCCCGTCTTGTTGAATGATATTTTTTACAATAAACGTCATAAATATCCGTGTTATTTTCAAGTGATATAGATTCCAAATTACTTTTTTTTTCTAAGTTTTTTATTTTGAAATACATTTTTTGGTGTAACTTCAAATATAATTTGAAACTTAAAAACATTTTGAATATTTTAATATTGCTTTAGATCAAGAAACAAAGTAATTTGTTCTCACATTAATAAGAAATCATCAAAATATATTAAACGGGTATTTCAAGCCGTACAATAAATTATTTCATGTTGCTCGTGATTTCATTTCTTCAAAAAAAATCGACGGTTGTGTCTTACCTTAGCTAGTTAACAAGACAAGGAACATTAATTTTTTAAACCGATTTGAGAAACGCGGCTCAAAGTACAATGACTCATAAAATTCACAACAATTATATTAAAAAGAATTCTAGTCGCGTCGAAATGTTGGCATGTATTTGTATACTAACGACATCCAAAAATCAAATTTTCTTAAATCACTCTTGATATTATACAGTAAATAAACTTAGATCAGGTTCAATTTGAATTATTTATGGTAAATTTTACTTGAAAATTATCTCATCAGCAAAAATTAAGCCTTTAAATCTTTAATCACAAAATCCAATCATTGTCTTAATAAAAAATTTAATTTTAGAATAACAGTATTGCATATAAAAAAAAGTTTGTACAGGGATGAATGTGAGAGTGTACGACGACACGATGCTATAATGAATTAATGAATTTTAAAGTTTGTCAAGGTACTTCCTAAGATGGATTAGATTAAAACGTTCTATAAAAGCTTCAAAAAACTTTCCACCTCTTTCTTTATTTCTACCAAATATTTTCCAATAATATAAACCATCATATACGATGTCACTACAAATCCCCGACTTAGATTATAAGAAACCCGGGCAGACAGGTATCAAAGAAATAACAGCAAGCAATTAAATTGATCTTGATTTAATTATATTAATTAAATTATATTATTTTTCTTGTAAATAAGCTGTCTACAGAAATGCTATACCATGTCCCGAGGTGAACACAGTATTTGAAAATTTCCAAAATGGTATGGTAAGATCAATTTGGAAATTATAATCACACTGTACCACGTGAGATTGATTGAAAACTTAAGATTTTTTTTTCTTAAATAGATGTTAGTAAATTTGCAGAGAGACAATGTCTTGGGTACCGACCGTTTGATAAGAATACAGTGAATTTTGGTGAATATGTTTGGGAAACATATGAACAAACACTTGACAAAGTTAACAACGTTGGCAGCGGATTAGTTTATACCAATGATATCGTTGTAAGGAACGGAAAAAAATAGATACAACGTCGGAGTGTGGTCGTTTAGTAAGCCAGTATTTCAATTGGTTATCCAGGCAAATGCAGCTTAAGGTTGGTTCCTCAACCTAAATAATAATTTCATTTGACCCATTAGAAAGTTCAATCGATCACGTAGGATGGGCATCAGAATATAATATTTAAGTTTATGAATTTTCGGAAATTGAAAAATTGTGAAGAGAAAATCCTAGAATGTATAATCCACCAACGCCAAAAGATTTATTTTCGATTCCTTGTACATCAGGAACAATGGGAGTTTCGAAAGGTGCAATGATCACTCATAAGAATATTGTATCGATGCTCGCTTCGATTTCAACGAATACATCAATAATTTCTGGTGATTGATGCTCTCGTATTTACCTTAGCTCACATTTTCGCCATGGATGTTGAAATTGATACTATTTTTCTTGGGAGATCAATCGGATATTATGGGGGGACATTTTCGGGATATTTGATGACATTAAAGTATTAAAGCCAACTTTCTTTCAAAGTGTTCCCAGAGTTATTAATAAAGTCGCCGCAATGTTAAGAAGTTATTCCGTTGATTCTCCTGGGATTGTTGGTACGGTAACAAGAAAAGCAGTTGAGACAAAACTAGAAAATTTCAAAAAACCGGATCTGTGACTCATCCAATCCTTTTTAACAAATTTAAACCTTTTTTTGGTGGAAGGGTGAAATCTTTTAATACTGGGGTGCTCCTATCGCTAAGGATGTTACGAATATCCTTCGAGTTACATTCTCCGTTTCTTTTCAAGAAGGTTATGGTCAAACTAAGTCTATGGGATTAGGTTGTGCGACCATGTATAATGATATTCTCTAGCTACAAAGACTACTAAACGTAAATCTGTGATATCGGCTTTAATTAATACCAATAAATGTAAACGAAAAGAGCCTGCAATTGATAACAATGCAATTCAAGAACTGTCTATTATTGATGAAGTTTCGAATGAAGATGTTGATGTTCAAGCATTAGCATCAAAATCTACTTTAATTAATAAACTTTTAGAATTAAGTGACGATAGTGATGATCTTTTAAAAGGTAACTTTTTACTTTAAAACCATATTTTAATATAATATGACGCAAATTTATTTTACTTATTTCATTTTTTTTAGATGGTAATCAATTTAGTAAAGATAATGTTGGGTGTAAACCTCTTGCAATGATTACTACTATTAATAATAGAAATAAAAACAAATGGAGGTGACTTTTTGGTGAATTTTATTACTTTTTCTTGTTATTTTAAGAAAATTCATATTTGGAATTAAGATAAATAAATCTGAGATGATGCTTTAATTGAAAATTTATTATATACCTTCTTTTTTCTTTATTTTTTTAGAAAATTATCATCTTGGTAAGTAAATTAGAGGTGACTTTTTGAGTGAAAATTTATCATTTTTCTTTCATTTTTCTTTTTTTTTTAGGAAATTATCACCTTAATAAAAAAATCAAATGATTTTTGAAGTGGAAATTTATCATTTTCTTTCTTTTTTCTTTTTTTAGGAAATTATCATCTTGATAAGTAAATCAAAGGTGACTTTTTGGATGGATTTTTTACTATTTTCCTTTCTTTTTTCTTGTTATTTTAGGAAAATTCATCTTTGAAATTAAGACAAGTAAATCTGAAATGACGTTTTGGATGAAAATTTACTATTTTTCTTTTTTTTTTAGAAAATTATCATCTTGATAAATAAATTAGAGATGACTTTTGTTTGGATTTTTAAAATTTTTCTTAATTTTTCTTTATATTCTTTAGGAATATACTATAATAAATCAATAAAAGGTATTTTAAGAAGGAATTTTTAACTTATTCCTTTATATTACTTTTTTTTTTATAAATAAATCTTATATAGATCAATTGAAGTAGACTTTTGAAGTGGATTTTTAATTATTCCTTTATTTTTCTTATTTTTTTAAAAAAATCACATTTAATAATTATGTAAAATAATAAAACTATAAAATTATAAAATTAATAAAATTTAAATTAATTATTATTAATTCTGATTTGCTTAGCTGATTTTAGGCTAATTTAGGTTATTTATGCTGATTGATGATTAAGGTTAAGTAGTATTTAGGCTAATTTTAGATAGCCGATTAATGATCGTTTGATATTTCTAGTTGACTTATATTGTGTCTAAAGATGGGAACTGTAATTAATATGTTGCAACTTATAATGTAGCAACTTACGTTGCAATTAGTTTTAACCTATATATGTTGCAACTAAGTTTAGCTTATGTTGTAACATTTTGTAAATTTGAAATCAATTGCTGTACCATCTTTAATTGTGTCAATCAGAATTAATGTAAATCAGCCATAAATCATCATTAATCATCCATCAATTATCTGTCTAATTTTTAACTAATTTATACATATTTCGACCAGTGATGGCTTAACAATTAGCTTGAGGTGAACTGATTTATTTCAACTCAGACTTAGCTTGATATGAGTTAGAAATGTGACAAGTGAGCTTGCTTATTAGTCAAGTTAGCTAGCTTATTTAGCTCACATTATTAACAAAATCCTAAAAAATATTTCAGAGATTAGATATACTTTGAGAAGAGTTAGAGAGATTTCCTTTAAAATAATAATTTTTGAAATTTTTTTTTAAGAGAAAATGTCTCTAAAGTGATTCTCTTTAAGAGAAAAATTTCTAAAATGATTTTCTAGAAGATAAATGTCTCTAAAAGGATTTTCTCTAAAGTCAAAATACTTTTAAAATGTTCATCTCGAAAAAAAATGCTATTAATATATTAACTTCTAAAAATACATTTTCAAAGTGTAAAATTAGAAGAATAAATACTTCAGAGCATTACTTTTAAAGAAAAATGCTATTAGTGCATTAAAATTCGAAGAAAATGCTACCTTTATATTAACTTCAAAAAAATGCTATTGATGCATTTTTCTTTGAAAAAATGCTACAATATATTAATTTCAAAGAAAAATACCACTAGTGTATTGAAATTTGAAGAAAATACTACTGGAACATTGATATTGAAGAAAAATCACTTCTATCCCTTAAATCGTAGGGTTTTGCAGGCAAATTTGCCTGCTTATTTACTATAAATTCTCTTCTGATTTACTTTT